GGAAATGGAGCAGTTACTGGTAAAATTCAAATTAAAAATAGATACCCTTAAAATTATACTAATTGATGCATACAGCTTCTCCTTTGCTCTCAGCACAGCAACCCAGCTGGGTTGCTATGCCGAGAGGAGAGGCCGTGCATCTTCCTCTCCTCCTGTCTAAGCACAGAGATCCAGCTGGGTTGCTGTGCCAAAACAGGAAGAGGCACATCACTGGTAGAAACCCTGCAAAGGGCTCCTTTCAGCCCCATGCCTTCCTGCCAAGATCCCCACTCGAGTATAAGCCGAGGGGGCCTTTTCAGCATAAAACATGTGCTGGATAATAATAATAATAATAATAATAATAATAATAATAATAATAAACAACTTTATTTATAGCCCGCCACCATCTCCCCCAACGGGGACTCAGGGCAGCTTACATGAGGCCAAGCCCAAACAGCAAATTACAATTCAGTAAAATACAATAAAATAAAAACCGAAACGCAAGCAACAATACAGTAAAATACAAAAACATGATGAATACAATAATCAATGAACACAAAACATAAGACTGCAACGAACAAGCACAATAACAGTGAGCAAACTGCATGTACAATAAAATGATTAAAAACTCAGGGTGAGATAAAAGGAGCAGATTATTTGCAAGGGAGAGCCATAGGGAAACAGAGTAGTAAACAGGCCTTCGTACAAGGGGAGGGTGTACTCCAAGGACAAAAGCGTTGAGGGGAGCAATAGTATAAGGTTGTATGGCTACTCTCCAAAAGTGCAACGGCAGAGCCAGGTCTTGAGATTCTTTTTAAAGAGGAGAAGGCTCTCTCCTTGTACCCACAAGATGAGCCTGTGAAACTGGCAGGGGCAAAAGGAGGGCCTCCCCCAAAGATCGAAGAGCTTGGGCTGGTTCATGGAGAGAGAGAGGGTCATGAAGGTAGGTGGGTCCCAAACCGTTTAGGGCTTTATAGGTGAGAACCTGTACCTTGAATTGGGACCGGAAAATGAATGGCAGCCAATTAAGCTCCTTAAACAGGGGGGTTGACCGCTCCCTATAAGTCAACCCAGTTATTAATCTGGCTGCCAAGCATTGGACGAGTTGTAATTTCTGGACCGTCTTCAAAGGTAGCCCCACGTAGAGTGCATTGCAGTAGTCCAGTCTAGAGGTACCTAAGGCATGGACCACCATGGTCAAGTCAGACTTCACGAGGTATGGTTGCAGTTCGCGCATGAGTTTTAAATGTGTGAAGGCTCTCCCAGCCACCGCCGACACCTGTGCATCAAGCATCAGCGCTGAATCCAGGAGGACTCCCAAACTGCGAACCTGCAACTTCAGGGGGAGTGCAACCCCGTCCAGCACAGGTTGCCACCCAATCCCCTGGTCAGATGGACGACTGACCTGGAGGACCTCTGTCTTGTCAGGATTGACCCTCAGCTTGTTTGTCCTCATCCAGATCATCACAGCGGCCAGGCACTGGTCCAGTATCTGCGGGGCTTCCTCGGAATCTGGTGGAAATGAGTAGTGGAGTTGGGTGTCATCTGCGTAGAGATGGTACCATACTCCAAAACTCTGGATGACCTCTCCCAGTGGTTTCATGTAGATGTTAAATAGCATGGGGGACAGAATAGACCCTTGCAGAACCCCACAGGTCAATGGTCAGGGGTCCGAGCAGGAGTCCCCCAGCTTCACTGACTGGGAACGACCCTCCAGGAAGGACCGGAGCCATAGTAAAACCGTGCCCCCGAATCCCATCCCAGCGAGTCTCCCCAGAAGGATACAATGGTTGATGGTATCCAAGAGAACGAGCAGGGTCACACTCACCCTGTCCAGGTCCCTGCGGAGGTCATCCACCAAGGCGACCAAAGTATAAACTAGGTTTATATTGAGTATATGCAGTATTATTTATTTACCATATCTGTACTCCACCCTTCTCAACCCCGAGGGTTGGATTATGGTTACCTTGATGGGTTTTCCTGAAATCTTATTGATATATTTCTGTCAGACTTTGCATTATATAACAAAAGCTTCAATTGCTTTTGTTATATCTCTCCTCATTATTCATGCCACTCCATTTCTTTCTGGATTTTCATGTCCTGAGTAAAATACTGTATAATTATGTGACTCAAAATGCCCCCTTTCTTATTTTGTTAACCCCAATTCCTGCAATGTATATACATTTCAATTCTTGTTTTATTATTCATGCATCTCACATTCCATGTTCCTTTAACACATGTTGTGCAGTTTCTGACTTTTCTTTCAGCTCAGAGAACATCAACAATGCAATATGTATGTAATGGTTTAAATATTCTAAGGCTTCACATTTGCTAGAAGAGCAGTGTAATGTTTTGCTAAATAAATAGGTACATTAATATTCTATAGAAATGCTATATAAAGGCTTAGTCTTCATGTTTATTGATAAAAAAATGCAATCCTAAAAGTTTAAACCACAAAACAGACCTCTCATTGTCAGCTAGGCCCACTCCCTATAATTATGGACTGACCAGAAACCCAGAAAGGGCTAAAGGCTGTTTCTTGATTCATCTGTGAAACCCAGAATGATATCCTCTGTTCTAGATGACCTTGAGATTCAGAACAAGTATGGAAAGAGATACTCTTAAAAAGCAATGACAAGGAGGCAATAGGAGGCATGGTGTATGGCACACCTTACAAAAGGAGTCAACATAACTCATAAACACGCACATGAATCGGCTAGAAGAAATAACTGTTTGTTTTAGGTGGGACAACCTTTGCTATGCAGAAGGCTCCAGGTTCAGTTCCTCTGATGTCTCCAGATAATGCCAAGAAATAATCTGCCTAAAGCTCTAAAGAACTACTGCCCTTCACTGCCAATACTACTTGACTGTATGGGCCAACTTGACATATGGTAGACGTCAATGCTCTTATGCAACTATTGCTAGTGAGGATGGTTTCCCCTTTCTTCTCTTCTTGTCGTGTCCTCCAAAGTCCTGCCATCTGCCCAGCTCTTCTACAACTCATTACTTTTAAGCATCAAGCAATATGCAGAAGAACTGTTTGAGGATCTGCATTCGATTCTCTTTCATGGTTCATTTCTGCTTCATAAATATTGGAGCTGTTCTGGTATTCAGAAAAGGGTGCATATTAGATGACTACCTGCAGGGGTGCAGCATGAAATCAATACCATTCAAGTAGTAGGAACTAGATTTTAAGGTTTAAGCACAGAGAGCACTAAGAAACAGGGACAGTGGACTGCAGTTAGAGCAGGCAAAGGAAAACAATCTGTTTACAGAAGACTGCAGGAGAGCTAGCACAGTTAAGAAGATGACTGGTTTCCTAGGACATTCAGTAGGGTGAACATTATTTCTCTCTTTCTATTATTGACATTCTAAGACTCTGCTGTGAAACAGAATGAGTGTGGATCATAGTTATCAGTAGCATGAAAATGCGAGTGTTAATATCTTTAAGCAACAATACTTGGGCAGGTAAGAAGTTCAATCAAAGATCTTGTCAATCACATCCCAAAACATTGGTATAGAATCATGTGCAACATGCTGTGCCTGTAACATTTCGGCAGGGCCAGTCCTACCATTAGATGGACTGAGGCCACGGCCTCAGGAGGCAGATGCAAGGAGCAGCTTCCTCAATGTTCCTCAATTTTCCAACCATTTCCCTATGTAATTGGAAGGCAGAACTGGAAGTACCACAAAACCTGCCCCAGGCCTATAAATGAGCATATTAAAGTAAAAGTCTCCAATGTAGAAATATGGATAAGTTGCCAGCCTGGTCAGTTTCTGTGCATGGACTGGGATGGATGACTCTCTTGTCCTTTGCTTCAGGCAGCAAATGTATTGGGCTGAGCCTGCATTTCAGACTACAGGTGGGAGTTGTATGCTTGAATATTTCCCCCTCCCTCTCTATCTCTGAGAGTGCCTTAGACTACGAGAAGATCCGACCAGTCCATACTTCCGGAAATAAAGCCCAACTGCTTGCTAGAGGGAAGGATATTAGAGGCAAAGATGAAGTAATTTGGCCACATCATGAGAAGACAGGAAAGCATAGAGAAGACAATGGTGCTGGGGAAAATGGAAGGAAAAGGGAAGAGGGGTCAACCAAGGGCAAGATGGATAGATGGAATTCTTGAAGAGACTGGCTTGCCTCTGAAGGAGCTGGGGGTGGTGATGGCTGGCAGGGAGCTCTGGCGTGGGCTGGTCCATGAGGTCACAAAGAGTCGGAAGCGACTGAACGAATAAACAACAACAACCCTCTCTATATCACATGGAAACTATGGTTAGACAGAGGGATCTAACCTAGCCTAATATCTAAAAAGAACATTTTACTAATCTGTAACTGTAGTTCTTCCACTGATGATCTGTGAAATCACACAACAAGCTAACATCACATTTGTGTAATTCACAAAGATCATGAAGAAGAAGGACATATTGCTTATCTGTAACTGTAATTCTTTGAGTAGTCATCAGTTAAATCACACAAACAGGAGACTAGCTTGTTGTATGATTCACCGAGACCAAGAAGAAAATGGCTAGTTTTCTACATGCAAGAAGTGCCTTTGCATAGGGAACCATTCCTTTAGCCAAGGCTTTTTGCAACCAAAGTTTATTTCCCAAACAAGGTAATCTTATCTCTAGATCTAGCACATCTGCTATTTGGCCAAAAATATTACAATTTCTACTGTGAAAGAAATAAAGTCAAAACAGCATGACGCATGGAGATAGCAGGAGTTATGGCAGGAACTGAACAGGGGGTTCTATTACCAAGGCGAGTGCCTTGCTTTAGAAATGCATCTGAATTGCAGGTTGCCCTGAAGCCTGCTGTTTCTCTTAATGGGCACTCAAAGAAAATTGGGTTACACCAGCTGTAAAAGTAAGCCAACAAACATTGTAGAGATAAATCAATCATTGTGACACAGTTAAAATGGAAATATCAAGCAGAACCAAGCATTCAGAGAGGACCAGGCCACATTATCTCAGGGAAATCATGGAAAAATGTGCTTCACTGGCAAGCCCATGCTTCTTACCACAAATTCACAAGGAAAGGATGCTCCAGCCCCTGCATGATCTGTAGTTCTTTGAAGACATTTCTCACTTCATTCCGCTCTACACACTTCTGCTTGTTCATATATTTCATGGCATACATTTTCTTGGTGTCATTCTTCTGAACAATGCATACCTACAGGAACAAATCGCAGCAACACGTTCTATAAAGTGAATCATAGAATCATAGAGTTGGAAGAGACCTGGTGGGCCATCTAATCCAACCCACTGCCAAGAAAAAGGAAAATCACATTCAAAGCACCCCCAAAAGATGGCCACCCATTCTCTGTTTAAAAGCCTTCTCCCTCTTCCCTATGACTTCCCCTGACATATTTATACATGGCCATCATGTCTTCTCTCAGCCTTCTCTTCTTCAGGCAAAACATGCCCAGCTTTTTAAGCCGCTCCTCATAGGGCTTGTTCTCCAGACCCTTGATCATTTTAGTTGCTCTCTTCTGGGCACATTCCAGCTTGTTGACATCTCCCTTCAATTGCGGTGCCCTGAATTGGACACAGTATTCCAGGTGTGGTCTGACCAAGGCAGAATAGAGGGATAGCATGACTTCCCTGGATCTAAACACTAGACTCCTATTGATACAGGCCAAAATCCCATTGGCTATTTTTGCCACCACATGACATTGTTGGCTCATGTTTAACTTGTTGTCCACAAGGAGTACAAGATCTTTTTCACATGTATTGCTGTCGAGCCAGGCGGACCCCATTCTGTATCTTTGTATTTCATTTTTTCTGCCTAAGTGGAGTGTCTTGCATTTATCCCAGTTGAACTTCATGTTGTTAGTTTTGGCCCATCTCTCTAATCTGTCAAGATAATTTTGAATCTCCTGTCTTCTGGGGTATTCGCTATCCCTCCCAATTTGGTGTTGTCTGCAAACTTGAGAAGGCATGATCAACATGAGGATGAAGAATCTGGAGGACAATACTCTTGAGATCCTGTCTAATCTTGAATGCTAAGCAGCCCTGGTTAGGACTAGGACTTGGTTAGGAAACTGTCAATGAATACCACATGCTGTAGGCTATATTTCAGAGGAAGAAAGTGGCAATATTCCTAACCTAAGAAATTCCTGGGGTCACTATAAATCAGAAAGATACTCTAAGGCACAAATATATTCACAGAGGAAGACACGTGGATTCCTATGATTTTCTACCTATGAAAGAACGACTGCCGTTGTGTTACTTTATTTATTAAACTCTGTTTTTATCTGGTGGAATCTAACCTCACAGCCAACGTAGCCTGCTGTGATGGCAAAATAGACTGATACGTTGTTGCTATTATGCGAAAAGTAATAAGGTGAAAGATTTCAGTTTTTCAATGGAGTTTATTCAGTCTGCCTGCTTCACTGATTTGATTGCCAGCTGATTTATCTAGTCTTGCTCAGATGTTTTCTCCAATTTACCAGTGTTCCCCTCACTATGTACAGCAGCCACCGTTCCTTATTACAACATATTGGGCTTCCTTGCTGTTTTGAGCAATGTTGTCATGACAGTTTCCAGGATCAAATTTTAATCAAAAAATGGAGAACTCATCCAAATGCACCTGTCTTACAATCAAAGTGGGATCTTTCATTGCACCCTGTTCTGTTCTGCTAAAAATGCAGGGGAGTGGAAGGGTGGAGGAATGTATTTCCCCTCAAGGCTTGCATTCCCTTGAGATTCATCTGTCCATGACTTGCATGGGGAGCAGTCAATGCTACAGCAGCAGTAGATGGGCCAGAACCTTTCTCCCTTCTTTTCAATCCTCCTCTCTCTCATCCTTTCTTTTCCATCATGTGCATACACACATTCCCACTCCCTCCTCCCTCTTGCTCTTAAAAGAGGCCACACAAGACTTCTGAACAATGTGCCCCATAACGAGGGAGGTCATTCACATTATACAATTATAGCAGTATGATTCCACTTTGACAGCCATGTTTCTGGACCATGAAATTCTAGGATTGTTAGTTAAGAGGAAGGGATGATCAGTCAGGGAACTCCTCTGATGTTTCTGAACAAACCACAAATTCTAGGATGCAGTCAAGGCAGGTTTTGTTTGTGTCAGGAGTGACTTGAGAAACTGCAAGTTGCTTATGGTGTGAGATAATCTGCAAGGACGTTGCCTAGGGGACGCCCGGATATTTTGATATTTTACCATCCTTGTGGGAGGCTTTCTTCCCTCATATCCCCACATGGGGAGCTGGAACTGACAGAAGGAGCTCATCCGTGCTCTACCTGGATTTGAACCTCCGGCCTGTTGGTCTTCAGTCCTGCCAGCTCAAGGATTTGACCCACTACACCACCGGGGGCTCTGTCAAGGGAGTTAAAGTGGGATCATAACACCATAACTGTATAATGCGAATGGACCCCAAGGCAAGATTTATCTCCCCCCAGAATGCAGAGACTGAACACCACTTCTTCTTAAACATCAAATAATTTCCCCCTACATGCCTTTCAAAAAAGCAAAAGGCTGGTGGCAGAGGAAAAGAAGGCAAAATGCCAGAATGACTTGATTTACTCCTGGGCAATATCACTCTTCGCCGGATGTTTACACATAAATGCAGCAGCTCTGGTTTATCAATAAGAATGGTTTAATATCCTGTAATATAATTTTAAGATTCTGGACATACAAGGCTCTGGTTCTTCTCAGTATTTAAGGAGATAAGGCAATGCAATATTCTCTAAAGCCTGCTTATTTTTGTCTGCCTTGTTATTTTCAGTAGGAGGTTTCTCTCTCTTTCTTTCTTTCTTTCTTTCTTTCTTTCTTTCTTTCTTTCTTTCTTTCTTTTGGACCCAGCATGCTATTTGCAACAAACATACCTTTCCAAAACTGCCTTTCCCAATGGCTCGCAAAATTTCAAAGTGGTCAAAGGTAACTGCAAAGAGGAACAAAATGTGTTTTTAAAATAAAAGCTTCAGCCATTCAATATTAATATAACTTTCAAAATCATTACACAGTAAAAGAAAATTGCTGCTTCATCATCAATACAAAACCTTACCTGTTTACTCCAAAAAGAGCTAATGTTGCTCAACAAATTGCCCTATTGTTTGTTAAATTAATATTCCTCCTCCACATTCTTTCCTATAAATAGATTTCTTATTATGGAAAATGTATCCACTTTTTAAAAATGGAATTCAATTTTATTAGAATTTAATGTATGGGGATACTGAGTGCAAAGAGTTGACTTTTCAGATATTCTCTCCTTATATTATAACAATTGTAACAAAATTATAACAATATAATTATTTTTTTCTGAACCAAGTTCTGAATCTAATTCAGTTCTTTCAAGCTAGGATTACACTATGTAACAAAATTTGAAAATGTCCTATTCCTGCTTTGAAAGTGATATTTCCTGTTTAATTGTGCAGTACTTACTTTGAAAGAAGTTGTTATATTCCAAGGACTTTGTTTTTGTGGCTGCCACAAACTGTGTTGAATTGGTCAAGACTCTATGAGATATTCATTGAAAAGCTATAGCAATATGTGCTGTAGGGTGTACCACAAAAACAAAAAGTTTTTGCAGTTTAGTAAACATTTCCCCTGTTTTTATGAGAGAACCAATTAGCAAATGACATTTATAACCCAGGAACAAAAATTGTGTTGCATAGTGTAAAATCAATTCTTTTGAGAGAAAATAGAACAACAAGTGTTTGGCTTAATATAATTTGCAGGAAAAAAATGTAATCTATTTGACAGAAAGTGTGCTGTAAATATTTCTAATACGTAAATATTTAGAACACAACTTTTTGATCTGAACCCTTGAAAGATTTGATTTCATAGCTGTAAAAGGTAGCCATTATAGCTACTGTTATACGAAAGATGGCTCCAGAATCGTATTTTGACATCAATTTTCCTCCAAAATCATGTGTCGTCTAAAATCGTACGGTTAGGCTAAAAATGAGAGGTAAGAGAAATATATACCGGAACAAAGTAGACACTGTCTTTAAAGACTACACATTTTTCACCAATAGTTTTGACTGCAATTGTGATGTGATGTTTTCCACATGGTCAGTGTCACATTTTTTTTTGTTTTGTTTGTTTTTGTGTGTGTCAGGAGCAACTTGAGAAACTGCAAGTCACTTCTGGTGTGAGATAATTGGTTGTCTACAAGGATGTTGCCCAGGGGACACCTGGATGTTTTTGATGTTTTTACAATCCTTGTAGGAGGCTTCTCTCATGTCCCCACAAGGGGAGCTGGAGCTGACAGAGGGAACACATCCATGCTCTCCCTGGAGTTGAACCTCTGACCTGTTGGTATTCAATCCTGTCGGCACAAGGGTTTAACCCATTGTGCCACTGGAGGCTCCATTTTGGTTATGGGAGGGGAAGCTGTGTTAATCTGTTGCAGCAAAAACAACTGTGTCTTGTGGCACCTTAAACACTTGTCATAATCATTTGTGGATTTTGGATATATGGACTTGGCACATATTTGCACATGTGCCCAGGAGAACAGTGGAAATACGATATTATCCTGAGCTTAGATCAAGTTTACTTTCCAGACACCACTTGAAAACAACACAATGGAAAAAGATAGCACCATGCCACACTAGAACTAAGCATATTTACATCCTCCCAGCTTCCAGTTCAGAACATACTACAAAATGTATCTACAGTAGAGTTTCACAAACAGGATTCAATTAAATCCGAGGGCTGCATAGGAGGTCAATAAGAGTCCCACAAAAAATTGTGATGGGAATTAACACAACTTTCCACAGAAAGTTTAGGATTGGGCAATTTGATATTACCTGGAAACATACATTTTGGAACCTCAGGAAGAGGTATAGACAGGCAGGATGGCTGATGATTCTAAATTAATAGCTTTGAATTTTGATCATAATAACTCAAATTCTTTGAGACAAGTAAAGATAAGACAGCACTAAACTTATAGCCATTAGCTGAGAAATGGTCATAATGAGAACAGCCTGATCTTCATACCAGTGACAAACATAACAGCACTTAAATCTCATTAGGGGGCTGATTTGAGGCACCGAATCAAGGTTGCAGATTACCAACAATGTATTGACCTTAATTACTGTGACCCTGGAACTGTCACGTACTGCCAAAGTGACAGAGCCTGAAATTACAGAGTTAATTTGCCACATCCGTCTGTTCATTGCCAACCAATTAAGATGTGGAATAGAAGAGACCATGTGTTTGACCGGCTTTTGCCCCCAAACCACTACAGCAGCTAAGGATAATACAACCCAATGAAGAGCTAGATGTGATGGATTTAAAACAACAATGGTCTAGAGACATTTAAAAGTATATAGAGTTCGTGCCATAACTACTCAGGTGGTGCAATGTATTCAAAATTGTTTGTAGACTGAAGAAAAAGTAAAAGTTGGATGATTTTAATATTAACTGTATGCAGCATTTGAGGAACAATGTTGGTCTGAAAACCTTGAAGGCTAATGGCCACGCTGCAGATCCCAGTGTCCCATGGAGAACCCATTCTCCTGGCCACAACCACCAGCAAAACCTCTGACCTAAGACTCTGAACCTGAGTCAGAGATAACATTCTCCAATGATCAGGAAGAAGGCAGCTCTTGGGAGGCAGTTTGGCCTAAGGTGACCTACCACCCAAACAAGCAACTGTCCAAGCAATAGCTCTGTTCAGAGTAATCCAGGTGATTTCACGTGCCTAACTCACCCTCACATATCTGTCATTGTTGATTATTCTTAGGTCAGGATATCTAGGGTCTAAGAAAAGAGAGCAGCATCCAGTTTCACCAACTGAATGTTTTATATGTCACACTATTTTGATCATCCATTGTCTACTCCAACACACATATTGTTGCTTAAACAATTTATTGTCGAAGGTTTTCATGGATGGAGCACTGGGTTCCACTTCATAGAAAAAATCAACGATCTCAAGCTAAATACCAACGACAAACTGATCAGCTTCGATGTGGTGTCCCTATTTACCATGGTCCTGGTAGTAGACACCATTGCACTAATCAACCAGAGGTTCCTAGAAGACATCACAGCTCTGTTTCACCATTGCCTCACCACCAGCTACTTTAGTGGGACAATGAATTCTATGAACGGAAAGATGGAGTAGCTATGGGGAGCCCTCTCAGCCCAGTCATAGCTAATTTCTACATGGAACACTTTGAAAAACAAGCCCTGGAAACAGCAACAAAAAAGCCCACTATATGGTTCAGATATTTAGATGACACTTTCACCATTTGGAGCCATGGGGAAGAAGAACTCAACAGGTTCCTGGACCATCTTAACAGCATCCACCCAAACATCCAGTTCACCATGGAAAAAGAAAATGAAGGAAGACTGCCTTTTCTAGATGTCCTAGTCATCCGCAAACCAGATCAACAATTGGGTGACACCGTTTACAGAAAACCCACACACAGAGATAGATATCTACATAAAAACTCCAACCATCACCCAAGTCAAAAAAGAAGCACCATTAAAGCCTTGGCAGACCGTGCAAAAAGAATCTGCGAACCCCACGTCCTTCAAGATGAACTGAACCACCTCAACTGGGCTCTACAGGCCAATGGATACTCCACCTCAGACATCAGAAGAGCTGGAAGACCAAGAACAAGCCACAAGAATAAAGATGAAGATCCACCCAGAGGAAAAGTGTTCTTGCCATACATCAAAGGAACCACTGACCGCATAGGGAAGCTGATGAGGAAACACAACATACAAACTATCTACAGACCCACCAAGAAAATCCAACAAATGCTACATTCAGCAAAGGACAAGAGCGATTCTCTCACTTCTGCAGGAGTCTACCATGTACCATGCAGCTGTGGACAAGTCTACATAGGGACCACCAAATGCAGCATTGCCTAAACACGATTCAAAGAACATGAAAAGCACTGCAGACTACTTCAACCAGAGAAGTCAGCCATAGCAGAGCACCTGATGAACCAACCTGGACACAGTATTTTATTTGAGAACACAGAAATGCTGGACCACTCTCACAACCACCATGTCAGACAACATAGAGAAGCCATTGAAATACACAAGCATGTGGACAATTTCAACAGAAAGGAGGAAACCATGAAAATGAACAAAATCTGGGTACCAGTATTAAAAAAAAACTCTAAATTACAACAGCACAACAACAGAGAGGAAACAAACAAGGACATCTAATCACCTCTCAATAAAAGTTTGCTCCAGGCACTGTCAGGCCATTATATGCTAATCAAGATGAACCAACTTGGATACAACGTATTATTTGAGAACACAGAAATGCTGGACCACTCTAACAACTACCATGTCAGGCTACACAGAGAAGCCACTGAAATCCACAAGCATGTGGACAGTTTCAAAAGAAAGGAAGAAACCATGAACCAAATCTGGCTACCAGTATTAAAAAAACTCTAAAATCAGAACAGTAAATAAAAAACAACACTCAAAAACAAGGGGATTCCAGACAAGAAACAATCTGGACCAGCTAATCACCTCTCAACAAAGGATTCCCCCAGGCAGTAAGAAGCCAGACCTTGAAACTGCTAGGCCGTTAAATGCTAATCAAGGTGGCCAATTGAAACATTCACACCTAATTCCAAGAGACAAGAGTTCTTTCTCCCACTCTGGACATTCCACGGATATATAAACCTAATTTTCCTAGTTTCCAACAGACCTCCCAGCCTCTGAAGATGCCTGTCATAGATGTAGGTGAAACATCAGGAGATAATGCTTCTGGAACATGGCCATACAGCCTGGAAAACAACAACCAAGCTTCAACACTTCTTGTCAACTATTGGACTTCAGGGAAAAATAGTTTAACTATATTACTATACTTCATTCAAAGTACTGCTTATTCTGGCAGTGGACATTTTATTCATTGCCTATGAAGACAATTGAAGTGACATTCCATTCAAGATGAACAAATAGTTTGGAACA